TATAAGTTATGAACAACTACTGGATAAGTCATGGATAAAATATGGATAACTAGTGGATAATTTTTGTATAAATTATGGATAACTAGTGAATAATTTATGGATATATTATGGATAACTAATGGGTAATCCATGGAGAAGTTATAGACAAGTTATAGACAACTAGTGGATATGGATAACGATATAGTGGTTATTGATAACAAGTGGATAATTTATGAATAAGTTATGGACAACTACTGGATAAGTCATGGATAAATTATGGATAACTAGTCGATAATTTTTGGATAAATTATGGATAACTAATGGATAATATATGGATATATTATGTATAACTAATGGGTTATCCATGGAGAACTTATAGACAACTAGTGAATAATTCATGGATAAGTTATGGATAATTAGTGGATAATTTATGGATATATTATGGATAACTAGTGGATAAATAATGGATAACTAATGGCATATCAAAAACTATTTCAAATGAAATTCCAAAGAGAGATTCATAGGATAATGAAACTTGACTAAATAAAATGTATCCAGAATATTTTGCATTGAGATTCTTAAAGGAGTGCTATAAAGGACACTAGGAGCACTAGGCATAATTATAAATGAAGTTCTTAGGAATGCCTCAACCAGTATTCATATAGTCAAAATTCTTCTTCAAGCTCCGCAGCGGCTTTGGAGTGTAAATCAATATGCTTGTCGGCTTCTAAACTAATTAAAACATCTTCTTCTGTGCGCGCTTTGTGTGCCGCCAAAAAAAGCTTTTGTTTGCGCTGGCTCTTGACAGGATATGGCTCAGGCGCGGAGCGGGAAAGAGAGAGCTCCAGCTCTGCCGGAACTAAAAGCCAAACAACAATGCAAGGGCAGAGAACATGTCATAAACTAGCGCTAAAAGGACGCCACGCTGTGTCTTTGTTCGGGTCGGGTCGGGTCGGGTCGGCTCTGCTCTGCTCTGAAATTATGACAGGCTCAGCTGATGTCTGATGTCTGATGTCTGGCGAAATCCTGCACAGGCATATAATTAGGGTCGGGCAAACGAGCTCGTTGCGCTGGGGTTTGTTTCGTTACGTCGTTTCGCATTTTTTCTTTTTAATTGAATTAAAGCTTCCACACGGCAGATGCATTGCATTGGCATTAGTTTAGGCGCCGCTATCAATATCCTTGAGCGCAGCAGGAGTTTTCAGTTTAATTATAATGCGAGCGAGCGACGAGCGCAATTAAATGCTTATCGCAATCAAATTGATTGAATTGCATGAGACATGGAAAAGCGATTGGCATTTGTAATGCTTATGCAATATATATAATTGCAGGTCTAGATTCTTTCAACGATATGCGCAATTATTTCCCCAAAGACTTTTCGGGGCTAGTTAGCCAAAGAGCACTTAGCCAATGGCCATAAACGGTTTTCCAATTTGTTTGCCCACAAAAACCGAGACAGAGTCAAAGCCCAAACGGAAGTATTGCTATGCATATTTCTCAACAATAAACGTGTAATGGACAAGCCATGCTCTCTCTCTCTCTCACTCACTCTCTCTCTCTCTCGCTCCGGCTCGTGTGCGTAGCAAAAGTTGGCAACAGTTTTATTAAGCTGCTGAACTCTTGTGTGTTAAAAGTCAATTTTCCAATTTGCAAACTGTCAAAAACATTCGAAAAGCAATTTGTGCACACACACAGACACAGAGAGAGAGAGAGAGAGAGAGAGAGTGGGGAGTGGAAGAGCGAGAGAGAGAGAGCCTGTGTATAGAGTACAAGCGAAATTGCGTATACGCCTTGTATGCTGCTTTTGCTTTTTGGGCGACGACATTTTGCGGCAGAAGTTTTCCAATAAAATGGCAAAACTTTGCTGCGAACAAAATTAAAGAAGACGACGCAGGAGAGAAGCGAAGGAGCAGGAGAAGAAGAAGGAGGAGCAGCAGCAGCAGCAGCAGCATAACGTGCGCCATGGGCTTTTGTCCCTTGCTTTTTGGGGGTTGATGCGCCGCAACGACGACGGCGACGCTGGCAGCGCTGTTGGCGACGCAAATTGTTTGCTGCCAATGTGAAGTTTATGAAAAAGATTAAAGTTGAAAAGTGGTTGACGAGGCGAACGGCAAGTGGAGGCATGAGGAGGAGGCGTGGCAGCTGTTGCGGCCAGGCGCGTGCTCTCAGCTTGCCAGCATCCAGCATCCAGCATCCAGCATCCAGCTTCAGCTTCATATGAATGGCAAATGCTGGAGGCATTCCCTTGGCTTGCTGGGTTTTGGGCGGGCTAGCACAAAATGTAGCAAAATTGAAAATGGCTGTAGCGTGCGTGTGTGTGGGTGTGTGTGTTTGTATTTGTTGTCTATGGGGTGGAAAATTGAGTTTGGCTGCGTGGGAGAGAGAGACTGAACGCCCAGTCGACCAAAACAGCCAAAGATGAAAGCAGACAATTTGCCGAAGCTCATAATGAAGTTTTTAATGATGTTGATGATGCTGATGATGTAGCTGATGTGGCTGATGGGCGTGCCAGTCTTCCTCTCTCTCTCTCTCTCTCTCTCTTGCTCGCTCGCTTTGTGCCGCTTATGACGCACCATGAATGGAAATTACAAAATTGATTTTGATGATTTAATTAAAATGAAGAAGCACAAACTCAAATTATAACAGTCGGCGTACAGCAGCTAGGCAGCCAGCCAGCCAGCCAGCCAGCCAGCCAGGCCATCAGGCAGGCAGCTAGGCAGCCAAGCATTGCCACAGCCTTCGTCGTCGCCGTCGCCTGCGCCTGCTTCGACTGCTTCCATAGCCAAATGTCAATATTCATTTAACATTTGAAGCTTTTACTCAATGTATGTATGTGTGTGTGTGGGTGCTTGGATGGGGGCCAACTGTGGCCTAGAGCTGCTAACTTTAATTTATTTTCTTCGTACAGATTTGAGCGACAGGAAATTAGACTTTGAGACAACTCTGTGTGTGTGTGTGTGTTTGCTCCTTGAGCTTTGTTATTTCTGTCTCTCGACTAAGCTAATTGATATGTTTTTCTTTTATTATTATTAACAAATGTTGTAAGGTCACATATTGACAGCATAAAAGTAAGGATATAATGAATTCAAATGGAAATATTCACAATGATATTTTTAAGAAGAGTTCTAACTATGGATAGAATAAAGTCAAAGACTGCTCTAGTCGAGTGTGTACGACTCGTAGATGCCTTAATATGTGTGTCATTTTGTCTTCCTATATCTAATAATAATAATAACTAAAGCGTTAAATATTGTATATATATTATATATATATATGTTGTATAAAAGCTGGGAAGGTATACGAGAGGATGTAAACTGCAAGGAGACTCTATATACCAAAGTAGGTGACACCCATTTAGCTCTTAGATATTTAGCTGTTTAGTAATAAACAAATAAGTCATTATAATATACTGTTTATACCAGTGTATACTGGTAGCATCAGACAGCGTCATAAGAGCGTCATCAAAAGGTTGCAAAGTGTAGGTAGCTAAAGGAATTTCTATTTTCCGTTGCCTACTTTTTGGAGCTGTGTGAAATGTGCTCCACCCGCAAGAGTAATTAAAATCTATGGTAATACAGCAGATTAATAAGCCACCTTTGTTAGCTTTTGGTAAGCGAATCAATTCATATAGTAAATTTGCTAATAGGTGACTCTAGAAATCATATTCATTCATCTCTGCGCTCAAATAGCAAGCAGCTTCAATAGCTTTAACAGCTTAATTACTTTGCCAAAGCGCTGTTTGACTCGTGGAGAAAAACAAGAAATTTTCACTTTCTGTTTGCATTTGCCAACAACATTTTCCCTCAGAGAGGCGGATGCTGCGGCTGCTGTGGCTGCTGCTGATGCCGATGCCGATGCCGATGCTGCACGCTCTGCAAATTTGTAATGCAAATCAGTTTTTGCCTGTGCGTCAAATTGACAACGAAAATAATTTTACGCGCCATTATGTTTAATTAAACAGCCGGAGCAACCAAAGCGCCGCACACAAACACACGCACACAAAGAGAGAGAGAGAGAGAGAGAAGAAAATACACACACACACAGACACAACCTGCTTGTTTATGTATTTTGTGGCAGGGCTCAGAGCTCGACTAAAAACAACCACAGCAACAACAACAACAACAACCACGACAGCAGCAGCAAGAGCAACATCAACGACATAATGGTAATGAAATTTCCATCAGAAATAATTTCTTATTAATTTGCGCAAATTGCATTTAATTACTTTGAGCGCAGCAACAGCGAAGCCGGCGGCATAACGGAAATCCAAAATACGCCACCCATTCGACTCGCTCCCGCTCACAGGACTTCACTCACTCGCACTCGCTCAGCCTGTCGCATTCGCACTCTCTTTCAATTGCTCTCTTTGCTTTAATTAGACCGACGCTTTGCCTGCGCTTTGGTTGGCAGAGCTGTTCACCCATACACACACGCATATTGTAACGATAATTCTAATTATAGCTACGGGCACTAATTGAATTTTATTTCTACAGCTTTGGCTACGTCAATCGCTGTTCTAGTTGTTGATGTTGTTGCTGCCGCTTGCTGCTGTTACGCCATTTTGTTTGTCTAACTGTCTGTCTGCCCCTGCCGCTGTTGTAGCTGCTGCTTATCTTCTTGCTCTGCCTCTAGCTAGGCTTTAGCTGTCTATCTCGCTCTGGCGCTGGCTTTGTGTGTGCGGCTGCTTTCATTAACAATTTTGGCTGGGCGGCCATTTTGCTTTTTTGTTGAACTTGATGTCTCTCTCTTTCTCTCTCTCTCTCATCCTGCCGTTGTTCTTCTGCTCATCATGGCCGCGTAATTAAGCTCATTCAGTTTTCCAATTATGTTGGATGACCTTCATTTAGTCGTTGTTGTTTTTGTTGTTGCTGCTGACAGTTGTTGTTGGCTGTTTAGACACTCGCCATTTTGTGCCTGATTCAATTAACGCTCATCTCCTCGACTGCGTTTAATTGCCTTCTGCGCGATTTGCTGTTTAATTAACTGACACCTTCTTTATTTTTCCTCTTCTATTTTTTTAGGTCTGGTTTCAGAACCGACGCGCCAAGTGGCGTCGCCAGGAAAAGTCGGAGAGCCTGCGTCTGGGTCTGACGCACTTTACGCAGCTTCCGCATCGCTTGGGCTGTGGTGCATCCGGCTTGCCCGTTGATCCATGGCTCTCCCCACCGCTGCTGAGCGCGCTACCAGGTGAGTGTCGAGATGTAATAGCTCGTTAGAAGAGAGACTCATTTGAGTTACTGTTGGTTTCGCAGGTTTTTTGTCGCATCCGCAAACCGTTTACCCCAGCTATCTGACCCCGCCGCTTAGCCTAGCCCCGGGCAATCTGACCATGAGCAGCTTGGCTGCCATGGGTCATCATCATGGACCGCCACCACCGCCGCCACCGCATGGACCGCACAGCGCACAGCTGCCTCCGCCACCGCCGAACGGGCCACAGCCGCCGCCCCCACCCCAACATCCGCATGCACACGCCCTCGCCGGCCATCATGCGGTGCCGCTGTCTCATCTGTCGCCGCACCTGTCACGCATGTCACCGCATGCCACATCGCTGACGCCTCTGCCACCAGCGGCGACGACAACGACTGCATGCTCGACCACCTCGTCCTCCTCCTCGTCGCTGGAGTGCAGCGGTCCGGACGTCTGCATGTCACCACAAAACCTCAGCATCTCGAATGCCGACTCGAATGGAGATCTGCGCGACTGCAGCGATGCGGATGCTGGCAGCAGCAACGGCGCTGGCGGCAACGGCCTCGAGAAATGCAACAACGAGCTGCTCGACGTGGGCAGAGAGAGCCCACCGCCCACATCCTCCACGCTGGCCATCAAGCGCTCAGCAGCTGGAACGCCGCCTTCGGTCGACATGCGCAGCAATTCTATTGCCACGCTGCGCATCAAGGCCAAGGAGCATCTCGATAATCTTAACAAGGGCCTCGTCTCCATGGTCTAAATGGTGCAGCAATGAACTCGCAGTGTTTCGGCCTTAGTTCTTCTACACAGAGTCCAATCACAGAGATTTATATATAATCATATATGTTTAGTTGCTTCAGAGTTTTAGTTTAGAGAATTTCATCGTTGTATACCTAATTTCCATTAGCGCAGAACGATTCAAAGCAGAGCGGAAGTCCCAGTGAGTAAAAGTTCTTTCAAATCATCAACAAGAAAAGCAAAAACGAAAACAAAAACAAAAACAAATCAAATAAATAGGATTTTAATGTGCATATAGATCTATTTGTAACATCTCTCTAATTCCTAAAGACAAAAGCTAAATATAATAAAAATAATAATAATAATAATATGTATAAAACAACATCCTAATCCCCTCTTGCATATTAGCACAAAATACAAATAAATAAACAAGTTTTAGCTCACATCAATTTGATAACATAATTTGGGAAAACTGAAAATGGGAAACACAAAAGAAAAGCGAACTGAAAAGAACTTAGCTGAAAGTCTTAACTGAATGCATAATGATATATCACAGCTAATTCTATTTGTTCTATTTTCGCTTGATGCACGCGAAGGAATACTTTCGAGAGGCATGAACAACTTTTGATTCCGAAAGTTTGGCCAAAAATGTGATTTAACCCCTTATCATTTTGGCCAAAGTCTGATTGAATCAGAAAATCAAGAATATCTTGAACTTTGACTAGCCACAACTTGTGTATTTCTTGTGAGATTTGTATGTGGAATACCTTATCTGACGGGTATTAAAACGGAGTATCGACTTTATATACAAAAAATATGTCATAACTTTAAAGATTTAGGAATAAACATGTTTCAAAAGATGTGGTGCGACTCAGGCTTTCGATTGGTATTCAAAACTTGTCCTTGTCTGATGTCATGCTTCAAGTTAAGATCCTGAGAATCAAGTAAAGTTATCGATTCTGAGCTATGTCAAGTGCTTATGCTGGCAGAACTGATTTATGTAAGTTTTCTGACCGCCCTCAGCTTTCAGCAAGAAGTTTCTGTGTCAGGTGTGACAACTTAATAAGCCGCCCTTGCGTTGCCCTTGCCACGGTTCGAGCAGTCGCGACGCAAATGCGTATCAGTCGTGTTAATCAGCTGTCGAAAACTCATTAATGACTAAATTAATAATCGAAAAGAAAAGGAAAACGCGGCGCAGCACTCGAAAGAAGCACAAACAAATTGAAAACGCTGACAAGCGGCAATTAAATGCAATTAAAAAGGACTAAATGCACGGCAAACAAAAGGCGCATAATGACACATAATTGAACAAGGAACCAGAGGCGCATATATATAGCTGGATCGGAAGAGAGAGAGAGAGAGGGGGGAGGGGGAGGGAGTGGGCCTATGCCCAACTAGGAATGTTATAAAATAATGTATAAATTATAATTGATTAACGCCGCCGACAATTAAAATGCAAGCACGGGCGACACAGCGCGCATATGCTAGACAAATGCCCTATCTCACATATATATCTACACACACATGCATGTGTGTGTGTGTGCCTTAACAATGGCAAACAGGAGCTGCACAATGATAATTGCTGGCAATTACACTCTGTGTGCTTATCACACGCACAATATCTTTGGATAGACATTGCAGTGGGGCGTAGCTGACTGGTAGATGCGCGCTCATGGCTTGTTTGTCACGCCCCCTGGCTATAAGCCAGTATGTATACCACATATCAAAGCTGTAGCCTTAATAGAGTGCTGAAAGAGCCAAATGAACAGCTGAGTATGAAGCCAATATACCCTGATTTACCTTGCTTGGCGAGCATACAAATCTCGCTGCGAAATGCTTTAAATGCAAAACTATACTCTATTTATACACATAGATATAGAATAGCCAACTATCAGGGGAAATAAACGAAGTAGGGAATTGAGTCCAGGAACAGGATTTCGTGTCCTGTTGGGGTTGCGAGTCGAGCCGTGGCTTGGTCTATTTATTTCAAGGCAATTGCAAACGTTTCAAAGTAATTTATTTCATATTTGACTAGTGCACGGACAGAGGGGAGAATATTAAATGGAAACAAATGCGGCCTTAAACAACTATATATTTAATTTTAAATTTATGGCAATTACTTAGCCCAGTTTTTAAATGCAGCACTCGGACAACGGCATAGCTGTCTGCTGTACTTATTAGATTATTTGTTTTTCATTTTTTATTGAGTTGAGTTCACTTAGGTTTATAAAAAATAAAAATAGACTAATAAATTTATATTTAAATTGCGGTTCAAATGATTGTTATTTAATGTTATTTAATATGTAAAGGTGGCGCCATCTATGTCTCAAACGGCATTTTTAAAAGCGCAATCAGAGTAATTACTGCTTGACCTGCGTGCAGAAACAAGCAGTGCAGCCAGGTTCCAGTCAAACAGTACGTGTAAATGGGCCTATTGAAAGCTTCTGAGTCTTTGGTCGATTGATATGATTAATTGATATCATTGAGCTACCAACACCTTGTAGCCAACTTGCCGAACTGTTATTAACACATAATCTTGGAATACAATTGTATATAGTTGAATAATTCGGATGCAGCCTAAAAGTATGCAACAAAATACAATAGTATAAAAAGAAACATTAAAACTGCGTGACTTTAACTCGGATATTTCGGAAATATATATTATTTTTAATACACACGCATATAGCTTTTTGATCGACATTAACAAATGTGGGCTCCAAAAATTGTGAAATTTTTGCCAAAAATGTGATATAACCCGTTATCAGTTTGACCAAAATCTGTAAGAATCAGAAAATCCAATATGTTTTGGAATTTGCCTGGCCGTATCTCGGGTATTTTGCTCACGAGTTTTTTGTGTGATACATTTGGGGACGCGTGTTGAATTGGAGTATCCATTGTAGAAAGCATTCAATTGATTCTGTTCTTTTATTGCAATGATAAGACAAGAGATTTATTTTCATAGCAGGTCTTGTTTTTATGAGTTAAAGTAATATAGCTGTATATGACTGTATATATGTAACTTCAATAGAAAGCAGTTGAGGCAAGCAGTGGGCTTGTCTGCCAAAAAAAGCTTTAGTATAAAAGCTTGCTGAGCGAAGCGTCACTTGTTTGAGAGCTTTTCCACTTGCATTAATAAAGTGAATTCAATATCGAAAATGTTTGCTGGCAGCTGTCAAACTGTAAATGAGCCATGAGAAGGGCGACAAGGGCATGCGGAATGCGGTCTGCTGCACTTCACTACCCAACTAATGCGCACTTATTATTAGCCCGCCCGCTGATTGAGTGATAGGAAGATGGGAAAGCCAAACGTGAATCATGCGCTCAAGAATACCAGAGATGAGAGATGCTGCAGCACCATATAAGGCGAAAATGCAGCAGCCGCTATAAAAATAACGAACTGAGACCCACATGTGGGTGATGCCTGCCAGCTGGGCGTGCCAATGCAAGCCAAGTGCACAGCCGAGTCAAAGTCCAATTGAATTGAACTTGAAAACTTGTGACGCGAATTAAAATGCCTTAAATTTATTTTGCAACGGATCGGCACTGGGCTGTCGCAGACAGCGACAAGTGTTCCACAAAAACAGAGAAGAGAAACTCTTGACTATGCTGCGCTATATATAGAAATTGTCAAAAAACCACCGAGTCCGAGTCCGAGTGGATGGCCTCAACGGAAGCCCCAAGGCGAGAAGCTGCCGCTGCCACTGCTGCTGCTGCCATAGAGAACTTCCGATTCGACTAGCCAAAACGCCCATCGATTCACTTACACATTACATACATACCCTGTATATATCTAGCCTTCTATCGAGCTGCTGCTCTTTCGCCTCACTCTCTAGATATATCGCATATTGATGACATACAGCTGATCTAGCCCGTTTGGTCGATGATGAAAGCGTTGGGGCTATTTTTCATTATATATATATATGTTTCTATATCTATATAGCTATACTCTTTCCAATATATATCTTTCGTGTGCTTCGTTCTATGCGCTTGCTTCTTGTGTATATAAAATAACAATGTTAAAAATAAAATCTTCAACACGAAATGAAACCAGCGCCAAAGCAACAACAACAACAATAACAACAACAAAATATAGAAACAAATTATTGAACAGCATTTCGTATATGTATTTAGCTAACTCGGAAAAAATCTGTTTTAGCGCGCACCATAAATGTCCGCGTCATTTATTTCCATTGCCTGTGGCGCAGAGGAAGAGGAGCAAATGCTCAGCGTACAGCGATTCGGGTGAACCAAAGCCAAACAGATAGAAATACTAAATATTTAAGTGAAAATTTGAAATCTTTAATATGCTTACATTCATCAATCTATAATAAGGGAAATCGTTTATACTAGTTATATAAGAGACGATAATCAATTTGGCTTATATTTTATTTTATATTAATTTTTATTAATATTCAATTTATGTATTCTTTATTATCAATTTTTTGTTTTATATATTTATCATAATTTCTTTTATCAATTTAATAGTCATATATTATAAATTAATTTATATAAAAGAAAAATATATAAATATGAACTTTTATTCAGTTTTCAATCTTCGCTTTTATTCTAGTTTTATTATATTTTTTTGTTATAATTAATTTATTATCAATTGGCATTCATTAATATTAATAAAAGAAATAAACGCAGATTATTCTTTAAAAGATTTGGAAAGACTTTTTTGAGCTTGAAAAAAATAAATTTCTTGATTATTTCTAGAAAATAAAATCAAAATCCAATTAAAAAATTAAATTAAAATTCCAAAAGTCAGCAAAACGTGAGCAAATTCCCCTTGAGAATTCTCTGACTGCAGCTTGCGTAAAGAAAGCGATATAGCGTGAAGAAGGGCAGACAATCAACATTATTAGTAATGAGCAACAATTTGGCCAAAAAATTAACAAATTTTGCGTATAGAAAGAATTATATATATATAATTTTTATATATAACTATACTAAGGTTCATTTTAGACATGCATAAAGTTAATTTATTTATCTAACTTTGTTATCTAACTATAAATTTAATTTGTTTCTTCATTTGCTGGTGCAAAACAGGTCCACTCTAATCTAGTGTATCTAGAGAAACATGCATAATTCTATCTCTATACTGTTTGCCATCAAATTATTTCAAAGATTTTCAGCTATTTCTTACCTCTCTCTCTCTCTCTCTCTCTATCTCTCTCTCTCTGTTCCTCTATATATATTTTGTATGTTCTCTATTTCGTATTCTGTTTTCTGTTCTTGAATATTTTTTTGTTCAAACTGGAGGCGTACAGATACATATATATATACATATATATATATATATATATATATATATATATATATAT